AAAACCCCTCCATGTCAGATTTTTATCCCTTCACGTCAGTTTTTTTGTTTACCTCCATTTCTTTGTGCCGCTTTGGTTCGCTCGAATGGAAGAGGGAAAACTCTGCTGAAATCGCCGCCAACTAAGATTTTTCCCCCTCTCCGATTTCCTTTCCCAACCAAGTGAAATTGATGAAAACTCTGTCACGTCAGATTTTTTTTCCTTCTCTGCTTTGTTTACAATTGATGAAAACTCTGTCACGTCAGATTTTTTTTCCTTCTCTGCTTTGTTTACAAAAGTTTTCCTTTTTTTTCTATGCGAACCAAACCGTCAGATTTTTTTTCCTTCTCTGCTTTGTTTACAAAAGTTTTCCTTTTTTTTCTATGCGAACCAAACATAAGAAAATTAAATATATTGGTTTCCCACCATTTTTTATGTGTGAACCAAAGCAAAATAATCTATTTCTTGGAAAAGTTTAGAAAACTCAAAACTTGTGTTTTTTTACATGGAATTGCATTTCTCTATATCAAGGAAACGAACCAAACAGCCCCATAATGGAAAATGTAGGTGTGTAGTTAACATGATATAGAGACTTACATTCATCTCACAGGCACATGCTGGTCATGCATTCTTCAAAGAAGTTATCGCATGGTTATATTTTAAAGGAAAAATATAACATCATTCACATGCTAATATCTTCTAATAACACCCCTCTCGGCACTACCTCAATGAAGTTATCGCATGGTTATGATTCCATCGGGTATTTCTGTCGTCATGCATCTTTTATTATATTTTCATTTGTAGTGACACAGTTTCTTTTGCATTGCATTCCCTTTTCATAATATCTTTTTACTCGTATGAAAAATCTTCAGTTGCGGGTGTATTTGACAAGTTATGCTCTTGAGCAAATGGTGCAAGCAGCAAGCTCTACTGCTGGACTCAGAACCATCAAGAGGGTTGATCAGACTCTGCAGGATCTTGGAGAAGTTGTTAAAAAACAATTTAGTGCTTTCACCTTTTTCCCGGCCTTTAGTATTTTTTAGCTGAAATTGTCAGTCTTGTTGACTTTGAAATCCAAATTGTTTCTTCCAAAGATTCATTTTGACATATCACTATTCATTTCCTTTCTAGGTCCATTTAAAGCCAAAGATCCCGACAAAATCCGTTTGTGCATAACATCTTGAATTACGTAAAGAAATTCTCACACCCTGCTCAATTTACAGAAACATGTTTGTATTCTGAAAATCTGATTATCCTATTATCTTGTATATGCCATCTGTGAACGTGAAACCGCGTGAGGAGAGTCAGTGGGGGCCACCATGTGATTGAAGCAAAGCAAAGACGCGTTTTTGTTTTTTTTTTGTTTTTCCTCATTGCGGACATTAATGCAAAGGCCCACCCGATTGTTACGCTGTAGGTATATAAATAGCATTTATTCGGTGACTTAGGTTTTGGCGTGCGAGAGAGTTTGCTTGGCGGCTGCAAGGTGCGAAGGCTGAGGGGGAATAAACGGCAAGGCAAAGGAAATTTGGCTTTTGGCGGCTGCAACGGGTAAAGAGCAGAGGGTGAAAAGAAACTTTTGGGCGGCATGCAAGCAAAGCAGAGAGAGAAAAACAGATAGCTTTTTGGCTGTTTTGAAGAGGAGTTCTGTGCAGCGTCTCTTAGGTTTTAGTATCCCTTTTGGGTTTAGATTGTGAGAGTTGTAAACCCATTGTATTCTTTTTCTCTTTAATAGTAGATCTCCCCCTCCTTGCCCCGTGGACGTAGGCAGTTTGCCGAACCACGTAAAATTGGTTGTTTGAGTTTGTGGCCATTGTAATAGTTTTTTAGGATCCCTCGACGCGCAGTCCTAGAGCTGACGAGAGTAAGAGCTAATATCCCACTTTGATGGGATATTAGGCTTCAGATTCTTATTCCCTTTAAGAAACAAGAATTCTTATCGATCTTTCTCTCTTATTGTGCACCAGAAACTCTGCCGAAATTTTCGCTGCGCACAACACCATCAACCTTTTTGCTTTAAATCTATCTCATTTTTTTAACCTATATATAATTTGCTGTTTGTTATGTTTGCTTTCTATGTTCTTCAAAAGTTTTGCCACCTGTCCATGCGAGCAGCTCTTTGATGGTTAAACCGTTTAACATTTTGACTGGAAATATTAATTCCTTTATCACATGTTTGAAATGTCACCTGCACCTCAATAGTTAAAACAATCTGTACCAAATAATATGGTTAGCTTCTGGTTTTCACTAATTCACTACGTGGAGCTATCTTTTCAGCTGAAATTAAAAGGACTTATTTTAATTTCCAGTAGAGTAAATATTGCATTGAACTAAAGCTATGAAGTCATTTTTATTTGCCATTTCCCATGACCTCCATTTGTTCTATGACACGTGCAAAATAGAGATGCTGAAGCTGCAAACCGTGACAGTTCATATACATAAGCATCAAGCACTCCTAAGGTAAATGTTAGCCACGGTTCTTTGTACTCGTTGGGGCTAATTAAGACCCCAACGGTTACAATCGTTGGGGTTGATTAAGGCCCCAACAGTGGATGTTTTTTTATTTTTAAAATTAAAAATGAAATTTTCTTGCCCTAACCGTTGGGGCAAGTTTTTCAACTGTTGGGGCAAAGTCAGCCCCAACGCGCTTTGCCACAACGGGTGTATTAACAACCCCAACGGTTGTAACCGTTGGGGACATTGGGGACACTCTCTGCCCCAACGGTTGTAAAACCGTTGGGCTGCTACATTTTGTAGTAGTGGTAATAGGAGAAATTAGCTCATCCTGATAAAAATTTCCCTCTTAATTATACTAATTTGTACTTAGAAACTTCTAAAAAAAATTTTTAATTGGAGTAAATTGGTGTTGAATTGTATAATAAATTGTATGGAGAAGTGGAGGTGTTATTGTATCCAAGGGTTGAGTGAAGGTAGGAACAAGCGTGTTGTATTCAATCGGCTGGTTTAATAAGTCCACATTAAATTCTATCCTCTCTATCTAATATGAATACACTGCTCCCTATCATTCTTCAATACCAATTTCTTAATCTAATTTGGTTATTAAACATGTCTTATGCTTAGTAAAATCATTAGACTTAGTGAATGGGATCAAGTAATGTCAAGTTTCTTTGAGATATTCCAAGTTTTAGTCATAGTCCATACAAATATACAAGCATTCTATGTTTTATTTTCCAATATTCAACAAATTGTATGTTTCAGCTAACTCATAATATAGGAGAGAGCATGAAAGCATGGAAAATATACATGGATGCCTATATTGGTTGATGTGCTTCCCATAAGGTAAATATTGTCTCTTCTAATTCATATTTGTTGTTTAATCAGGAGATATGAATTTCAAATTAGTCCTTACTTGATTTCTTCTATGATGAGACATATGATGATATGTGAATATACTTGCGAATTATTTTTTCTGTGTAGCTGCCTTGTGCTTTAATTATTGCCCATGGGTTAACTATTGCCATTTGATAGTTAGAATCAAGATGTTATGACAATTATACATTACATAAAGTAGTGAATTGTGATATATGAAGTTGCTTTTTTGATGATACATGCATCTCCATTCGAAGATACTATGAATAACGATGTTTCTACTGGCACAGGTTGGTTAGCCTAAGAGGTTTCAAGGAAGTGATTGATAAAATGAGACGAGGACAAGCTGAGTTTTCACGAGTTTTCAATATTCTTGGATCTGCCTGAAGTCAGGAGGAGTAGGGTTAGCTGAAGTAGGCAACAGTGATTGAAAAAGATAGTGAACAACAAAGATTATGAAGGCTAACATGATAGGGACTGACCAAGGAGATACTAAGGTCCAAGGAAGCATATTCCTCTCCAAATAGAATCAATCAATTTTCCATTCAAGCCAATACCATCAAATTTATCTGCGCTTTATTATTGCTGAACTTGACTATGGCTACTCGGCCAATTTGATGTTGGTCTTAATGATGTTGATAATTTTTGGTCTTAATCCATGCAGATGTAGAATTAGTGAAGGTTGTGGCTGATTCACTGATCTTTTCCTCATGTAGAGAGCTAGCTCTAATGGAGTTTGGTTTGTAACACATAACATATATTTTAAAAGTTAGCTAAGATTGTGATATGTTTAGTCCCCTCAGTTTCATCTCTATGAAGAACTGACTAATTCTTAAAGTTTTGATTTAGTTTTTAACTTATAAAATGTCTCTGGCATTGCTAGAAAGCTGATGAAATTTGATTAACGATTTAGAGTTAGAATTGTGTTTTTCATTATTCCTATAAAAATATTTATTATTTATAACTCACTTGAACACAATTATTGACTAAATATGAAATGAGATTTATCCTAAATACTATGTGAGCCTATTATGATTTATGTAACTACAACTTAATTGGACGCATCAAGACATTGTAAATTTACTTGTTATTCATTGCAGGAATTATTCTCCTCTATAAATGGTAATTAGGATAATAATTAGGTTGAAATTAACTCTACAAATTTCTACAAGTCTTTTAAAAAAGAGTTCTGTCAAATAAAGCTTTGAGGGAAAGATTTTGACTGCCCGATAGCTTTTTGAAGATTGATGAGTTCTTTTGTATTTATATGAAACTTCGGCCCATTCATTGGAAAACATGTGATCATTATTATGCTTTACCAAAGAATATTAATATGAAAGATGCGAAAATATATTCTTAGTTATTAACCTTAGGGAACTTATTTAATATATGGATAAATAAATTGAATGTAGCTGACATAAGACCTTTGTGATGCAATATTTTTTAGTGAGGCCATTGCGTTTCCAAGGATCTTAATATGCACTATGTACCTCTATAAAAGTTAATGTGATGCGTTGCGTATTTTAGTTTTGTTAATGCATTTGAGATTATCCTTTGATCCTCTATAAAAGTTAATGTGATGCGTTGCGTATTTTAGTTTTGTTAATGCATTTGAGATTATCCTTTGATTTATGAGGTTAAGTGCATGGATTCTTGAAATATTTTAGTTTTGTTAATGCATTTGAGATTATCCTTTGATTTATGAGGTTAAGTGCATGGATTCTTGAAACCGGAAAATATCTGTGTCACGTTAAGCGGGATATTTATAATTGTTCTGCTCTTAAATAGTGCAAGGATTAAATTTGAAATCGCAATGACAATTCCAAATAGACACAACCTTCTTTATCGCCTTGCAGACTATATAAGTTTGGAGGTAATATTATGATATCAGCATAACGTAATAATTAATTTGCTGCCACTTATTAATTTTTATGTGTCACAAATGTTTGCATCTCATACTTTTACCTTAAAGAGGTTAAAGCATCTACGGAATGAAAGCTATGTTTACGACAGCTATTCGTGACTAAGTAAGGTGTCAATATTATTGTCACATAGTTAGCCTTTGTTCTATACGAAGCACGTTTTTTTTTATAAATGATGATGATATTGGCATGTGCGAAATTTTAGTTTCCTTCAAATGGTTTACTTATCATATGGTTTCTTAACATGCATCATGTGCAACGCACGTATTGCATCCTACTACAAAAAAAACATATCTACTGCAAACGGCTGCAATTGTGTGGGGGCTTTACTGTTACTTGCTCTTCTATATTTAATAATCAATTGGAAATTACTAAAACAATTGAAAATGTAAATAGGTGCTGTTACTTGCTCTTCTATATTTAATAATCAATTGGAAATTACTAAAACAATTGAAAATGTAAATAGGTGAAAAGTTTGGGAGGGAAATCAATAAAAGACTACTATAAAACAACTATTGCACTCCCACTCAATTCACACTGCTTCCCAAAACACTCGGCGGACTCCCCAATGTATCGCCAGTTCCCAAAACCCTAGTTGTTAGTTCTCTCTCGATAATCGTTCCTGGTGGTGATCAACGCCTCCCGATCCGCTCACAAGCGTTCGATTGCAGCCAAGGCGGCCATCAAGAAGATCCAATGTCGCATATGCAAAAAGTGCTTCTCCAAGTCCCAAATGGTTTCTCACTACTTGGACGTGCATCCGCAGTACAAGCATTTGTGTGCTGTTTGCTCTAACGGCTACAAAAGGGAGTCTGAGAGGATCGTTCACGAGAAGGAGGAGCACGGCGAGGAGGAAGCTGAGGTTGTCAAACCCGAGGCGGCGATCGGGGCTGATGAGGAGCAGAACGCCGGAGAGCATGAGATTGAAGAGGAGGATGCTTAGATCATGAGCTTATGGTAAGTAGTAATTAAATAATGAATTAGAATTAGATATATAATCTCAATCTCAAGTTGCTTTCAGAATATCGAACAGCTCTGGTTCCGTTGGTTGCTATTAATGAAACCTAGTTGTTTGATTTGTTGATCTGGTTCCGTTGGTTGCTATTAATGAAACTTAGTTGTTTGATATGATCTTGTATCGAACAGATCTGGTTCCGTTGGTTGCTATTAATGAAACTTAGTTGTTTGATATGATCTTGTTTCTGTTTGATCTTAATTTTGTTGCTATTTTTGGGTTTTTTCAGGTCAGAAATTTTATTACTTGTTTTGTGTTTGGATCATCTAATTAATATCCTCTCATCATATTTTCTATTTTCGATTAACAACAGTTGTTAGTTGAATTGTTTGATGTTAATCTAATCTCTAAATGGTAATTTTCTAGTTTCTTTTCTATTGGTTAATCAAATTTAATCGGTCGGACGAATATAGAGAATCCCATAACCTTTACATCAAATAGTTGAGACAATCTAAGACGTATGTTTTATTATTTTAATAAAATGAACAATAGGAAATTTTCTTTAGTGTTATTCTAGACGGATCAACTAGACGAATTTTTTTTTTCATCTGGTTAGCTTTAAACTAGACGGAAAATTTCCGTCTAGAATATTCCATCTAGTTTGCCATTATTCATTCTATTAAAATAATAAAACATAAGTCTTAGATTGGTTCAACTATTTGATGTAAAGGTTATGAGATTCGCTATATTCGTCCGACCGATTAAATTTGATCAACCAATAGAAAAGAAACTAGAAAATTACCACTTAGAGATTATATTAACATCAAACAATTCAGCAAACAACTGCCATTAATCAAAAATAGAAAATATGATGAGAGGATATTAATTAGATGATCCAAAAACAAAACAAGTAATAAAATATCTGACTGAAAAAGAAACCCAAAAATAGCAACAAAATTAAGATCAAACAGAAACAAGATCATATCAAACAAATCAAACAACTAAGTTTCATTAATAGCAACCAACGGAACCAAATCTGTTTGATACAAGATCATATCAAACAAATCAAACAACTAAGTTTCATTAATAGCAACTAACGGAACCAGATCAACAAATCAAACAACTAAGTTTCATTAATAGAACGGAACCATATATGTTCGATACTCAGAAAGCAACTTGAGATTGAGATTAGATATGTAAATCTAACTCATTGTTTAACTACTACTTACTTACCATAAGCTCATGATCTAAGCATCCTTCTCTTCAATCTCCTCATGCTCTCCGGCGTTTTGCTCCTCATCATCCCTGATCGCCACCTCGAGGTTGAAAACCTCAGCGTCCTCCTTGCCGTTCTCCTTCTTGTGAACGATCCTCTCGGACTCCCTTTTGTAGCCGTTATAGCAAACGGCGCACAAATGCTTGTACTGCGGATGCACATCCAAGTAGTGAGAAACCATTTGAGACTTAGAGAAGCACTTTTTGCATATGTGACATTGGATCTTCTTGATGGCTGCCTTGGCTACAATCGAATGCTTGTGAACAGATCAGGAGGCTTTGATCACCATCAGAAACAATTATCGAGAGAGAACTAGCAACTAGGGTTTTAGGAACTATCGATACCTTAGGGAGTCTGCCGAGTGTTTTGGGAAGCGGTGTGAATTGAGTGGGAGTGCAATGGTCGTTTTATAGTAGTCTTTTATTGATTTCCCTCCCAAACTTTTCACCTATTTACATTTTCAATTGTTTTAGCGTTTTATAGTAGTCTTTTATTGATTTCCCTCCCAAACTTTTCACCTATTTACATTTTCAATTGTTTTAGTAATTTCCAATTGATTATTAAATATAGAAGAGCAAGTAACAATAAAGCCCCCACACAATTGCAGCTGTTTGCAGTAGATAAGTTTTTCTTTTGTACTAGGATGCAATACGTGCGTTGTACATGATGCATATTAAGAAACCATATGATATGTAAATCATTTGAAAGAAACTAAAATTTCGCACATGCTAATATCATCATCATTTATTTAAAAAAAAGTGCTTCATATAAAACAAAGGCTAACTACGTGACAATAATATTGTCACCTTACTTAGTCACGAATAGCTATCGTAAACATAGCCTTCATTCCGTAGATGTTTTAACCTCTTTAAGGTAAAGTATGAGATGCAAACATTTGTGACACATAAAAATTAATAGGTGGCAGCAAATTAATCATTACGTTATGCTGATATCATAATATTACCTCCACACTTATAGCCTGCAAGGTGATAAAGAAGGTTGTGTCTATTTGGAATTGGAATTGTAGCCGCATCTATAAGAAATTATAGTTGCATCCCCAAGCTGAGAGTGGGTTTCTTGTTCGAGCTGCACAATACGTACCAAAAAAACAAAACAAAAACAAAAACCAAATTAATTCGAGATCAATCTCAAAAAATAATATCATTTGAGAATACATTTGCAAAGCTAGGAATAAGTTTTTTAAATTCTAAACAATCCTTGAACTCGCAATATTATTAGGGTATGAGATATAATAAAAATTGAATAGCAGACACTAACTATATCGACACCAAAAAAAAGTTCCTCTAAGATGAACAATCATTTAATTAAACCAACATATGAGTGTGTCAATGAATCTACAAAAACAAATTTAGAAGTTTCTAAATACAAATTAGTATAATTAAGAGGGAATTTTTTATCATGATGAGCTAAGCTCTCCTATTACCACTACTACAAAATGTAGCAGCCCAACGGTTTGTAACCGTTGGGCAGAGAGTGTCCCCAATGGTTACAACCGTTAGGGCTGCTAAAACACCTGTTGTGGCAAAGCGCGTTGGGGTTGACTTTGCCCCAACGGTTGAAAAACTTGCCCCAACAGTTATAACTGTTTCATTTTTAATTTTAAAAAATTAAAAAAAAAGTCACAACGGTTAGAACCGTTGGGGCCTTAATTAACGGAACCGTTGGAGCCTTAATTAACCCCAACGGATGAAACCGTTGGGGTCTTAATTAACCCCAACGAATACAACCATTGGGGCAAGTACCTAATTTAAAAAAATCAATGATGTTCAAGTGTAATCACACTCTTAATAGAGACAAAAACACAATGCATTCTTTAGAAGGTAATCATGTTTTCCAACAACAGAGAGATGGCAAAAGAACCCAATCACTTTCTGGCAAAAGAATCCAAGTCCTTAGACAATTAAACAACAGCAGAAAGAGCTAATCGAATAAAAGTCCTATAATTTAAACTGGCAAATGTTTAAACCTACAATCTTGGACATTTAATTTGATCTCATAAGAAGCAACCCCCAAAGTTTCCAAAAAGATGCAGGCTAGTTGCGATACATGAACTACATTCTCGTTTCATGTAAAATCTCAAATTTTTTAAATAATTTTTTTTTCAAACATTATCACAAAAGTAAGATAATTTGTCAAATATATTATCATTAAACATAAGAAAATCACCAACCTAGTCCACTCGCTGTGCTCCATTGGATTCCAAGCCCTAGGCTCCGCTGTATTGCAAGGCCCCACGGTCGCCTACACAGAAAATCCATCAACACCACCACAAATTCAACGCAATTACACAAATCAAACATGCATTCCACTCCAATTCACAGGCCAAACCAAAGAAAACCCTAGCAAACCTCAGATCCAAACCCTAGATCCAACAAAAAAAAATCAACAGATCGGTCGAGATCCCTTACTTGCTGATACAATCCGTAGAGCAGGAGCGCGACATCGTTCTGGAACTTGGAGGACGCTCCGCTGCCGTTTAGAAAATATAAAATAGAAATCTATATGCCACATCCCACCAGGTGATGCATTTTTCTGAAGGAAGTATCATAGAAAATATAAAATAGAAATCTATATGCCACATCCCACCAGGTGATGCATTTTTCTGAAGGAAGTATCATGGATTAGATGCTTTCAGACTCCACATCCCACCAGGTGATGCATTTTTCTGAAGGAAGTATCATGGATTAGATGCTTTCAGACTATACTACCATATAAATTTACTACCATATAAATTTGCTGAACAAAGAACTGTGGCTAACATTTACCTTAGGAGTGCTTGATGCTTCTGTATATGAACTGTCACGGTTTGCAGCTTCAGCATCACTATTTTGCACCTGTCATAGAACAAATGGAGGTCATGGGAAATGGCAAATAAAAATGATTTCATAGCTTTAGTTCAATGCAATATTTACTCTACTGGAAGTTAAAATAAGTCCTTTTAAGTTCAGCTGACAAGATAGCTCCACGTAGTGAATAAGTGAAAACCAAAAGCTAACCATATTATTTGGTACAGATTGTTTTTAACTATTGAGGTGCAGGTGACATTACAAACCTGTGATTACGGAATTAATAATTCCAGTCAAAATATTAACGGTTTAACCATCAAAGAGCTGCTCGCATGGACAGGTGGCAAAACTTTTGAAGAATATAGAAAGCAAACATAATAAACAACAAATTATATATAGGTTAAAAAAATGAGATAGATTTAAAGCAAAAAGGTTGATGTCATATACAAGATAATAGGATAATCAGATTTTCAGAATACGAACATGTTTCTGTAAATTGAGCAGGGTGAGAATTTCTTTACGTAATTCAAGATGTTCTGCACAAACGGATTTTGTCGAGACCTTTGGCTTTAAATGGACCTAGAAAGGAAATGAATAGTGATATGTCAAAATGAATCTTTGGAAGAAACAATTTGGATTTCAAAGTCAACAAGACTGACAATTTCAGCTAAAAACTACTGAAGACTGGAAAAAAGGTAAAAGCACTAAATTGTTTTTTAATAACTTCTCCAATATCCTACAAAGTCTGATCAACTATCTTGATGGTTCTGAGTCCAGCAGTAGAGCTTGTTGCTTGCACCATTTGCTCAAGAGCATAACTTCTCAAATACACCCACAACTGAAGATTTTTCATACGAGTAAAAAAATATTATGAATAGGGAATGCAATGCAAAAGAAACTGTGTCACTACAAAAGAAAATATAATAAAAGAGGCATGAAGACAAAAATACCCGATGGAATCATAACCATGCGATAACTTCATTGAGATAGTGCCGAGAGGGGTGTTATTAGAAGATATTAGCATGTGAATGATGTTATATTTTTCCTTTAAAACAAACTATCGTCTTAAATAACAAATAAGTCGGAATGGTAGACTGTCATCTCAAATAATCCATGGTGGCTGACATTTTGTACGAGCATGTGCCTGTGAGATGAATATAAGTCTCTATAACATGTTAACTATACACCTACATTTTCCATTCTAGTGAAATCCCGATTTTGACTAGCGAATTCTCCGACTAACAAATCAAACAGTTTCCAATTAAAAAAACTTTTATAGATTGTGAAATTTATTAAATCCACTTGCAAATGAACATTCAAGAACATCTAAGAAAGTTTGACATGTTGATCACACATGTGAAAAAACAATAGAAATTTTCTCTTAACAATGATAATAGCATAAACAGTTGTATGATTAAAAAAACCTTAACGGACCTTGAAGTCACCTGAACTAATTGTGTCTTCCCACTTCCTTGAGCACCATAAGCAATCACACAACCATTACCTCCTTTGAGAATTCCCTCAAGGAGAGGTTTAATCTCTCAGGAGAAAATATCACCAGTGGTCTCTTCTTGCCCGTAGCACCAATCTAGTTTGTAGCTATCCTTCCGTCTGTAAACAACCCAGATTCCAAATCCATATAAAAATGATATCCTCTAAAACTCAGATTATTTTTTAAAATTACCATCACAAAACATTGTCTTAAACACAAAGAAAACCCTTAAACAACATAAGGTTGCATGTTTGGAGCACAAATCCAGAGTAATCAACGAAAAGGATCATTCCCTACATACACACAGATAAAAGTCCCTAAACTATCAATAGAATTGACATTAAAAAATGCAATTAATCAAAAATGGGAGAAAATATATTATCCTATTCTCTAAACTCAGGTTATTTCTCAAAATCAACATCAAACAGTTTGTCTTCACAGAAAGAAAACCCTTAAACAACATAAGGCTGCAGATTAGGAGCTCAAATTAACAGTGATTAAAATTAAGGATCATTCTCTACATACAAACAAACAAAATCATCCTTAGACCAATCAAAAGAAATCGCCATCAAAAAGTAGAAAATTAATGAAATTTAAGGGGGAAGATAAGTTACCCATTCACTTGATCAGCGAAAGAAACAGAGGCGAATTCTCCTTCAGTTCTTGACATCGAGATTTGGGAGACGCTCGACTCTCCATCAGGAGCTTTACTGACCTCTGAATCGAGAAAAGGACGTATCTTTCCAACGATCTGAAGCCCTCGATACAAATTCTAACAACAATAAAAACCTAAGCTGAAGACCAGCAGATCTAGACAGAGATAATATATGACAAACATACCATTAGAAAACAAACCAAAATCCACTAAAATCTCAATAGCAATAAAGAAAAGTCAGAATAATATACGACAAATACCTTTTAATTTGTCATATATTAGGGTTAGGGTTTTGAGGTAGAGGACTTAAAAGTAAGGCGTCCGGCGAAAATGGGGAGCAAGAGAGGCGGCGAGGTCCGATTTGGGGAGGAAGAACTAGGGTTTTTTGAGGGGGAGTCGGCGGCAAACTGCAGGCCTCGACGGCGGCCTCTGACGGCAGCGACGAGTTCAGAGTTGGGGGGGAGAAGGAGCACAGGATTGGGGTTTTTTGAAGAGAGAGAGAGAGAACGGGGTTAATTTGGGGGGGTTTGGTTGGTTTTTTTAATTTTCGCGAAACCTACTCGCCTCAACTATTTGAACCGTTGGGGCGGCCGAAACCAGCCCAACGTTCTTTTCACCCGTTGGGCTGGGCCTCTCTTTAGTAAGGCGTCTTTGCCGAAACCAGCCCAACGTTCTTTTCACCCGTGTGTACACGTCTTTGTCGCTTTAACACATCTTTAATGATAGTCCAAATAAGTTTTTTTTGATTAAGCTTCATTCTCATTTCTCTACTACATAAAGTACCATTTGTTTATTTCTAAAAAAATGACAACTAAAATGATGTGATTCGTTTTATGGTCAAGTTGATTATCTTTGCTTTCATTTTTAAAGATCGTCAATCATTCAATAAACTTCATGTATCAAATAATTATTTAATAAATTATCTTGTTGCTTATAGTTTCCATAGTATTATAATTATAGTACAATAATCACAATCTTTAACAAGTTCTTCAAAGATTGAAACATAGTTTCCATAGTATTATAATTATAGTACAATAATCACAATCTTTAACAAGTTCTTCAAAGATTGAAACAAACATCTAATTATAACAAGCTTTAGGTACAATAATCACAATCTTTAACAAGTTCTTCAAAGATTGAAACAAACATCTAATTATAACAAGCTTTAGTATTGATTGATTAAAAATGTGTAAAGAGAAGGAACGAATCTACGAACAACTCAGCTTAAATTTGTCTACAAGTACAGTAGTCTTTTTATCCTTCTGCCACCTAATATGGTCCTACATTCAAACACTAAATTAGCACAAAGGGGGGAAACCAAAATTCGTAGTACAAAAACATCCAAATTAACATAAATGAAAGAAAACAAAGGAACTGAATCTTCTTCTGATTCTCATCACCGTCCTCCCTCTTTGGCCTCTTCATATAGAGATTCTTCTTCATATAGAATACTTATAGAGAATTTCAAGATGATAATATCTAAATATGAAAGGAAAAATTAAAAGAAATACCATAAATCAAAAAAAATCATTCATATAAGCACAGTTCTCAAACGATGATTTCCCCATGGAAAATTTGAAAAGAACTTACAAGCTAGAGATAGAAGAAGGCAACCTCGCTGGAGGTGGCAAGTAACAATCGATAGTCTCACCGGAGGCTTCTCGAGTAGCAAAGACTTTTTGAGGGTGTAGATAACCCTAACTAGAAAGTACCCAAAAATTTTTAACAAATACACAAACATTTCAGATAATATTCAAATTAGGGTTTAGGTTTTGAGGAAGAGGACCTACAAGTGGTTAGGGGAGAGGAGGCATCAACAAAAGGTGCTCGATAGCGGTTAGATATTGTGCTAGCCATTGCAGGTGCTCGACGGAGTCGCTCAAAAGAGGAGTTCGACTGAGTCGCTAGTGGTGCCTAATGCGCATCCGAAACTACATTATTGTTATCAAAGATTTAGAGCATACCTCCAAGGACTGTGACGGCGGCGGGTGACAAACAATGGCCAAGGCGACGGGCTCCGAGTGACAGAGTCGGGCGACAGCAATGGCGAAGGGAGACGGGCGATGGGAGACGGCTAACGAGTGACGAGAGACGGCGGCAGGCAACGAGAGACAGCAACAAGCGACGGCAATGGCGGCGGGC